TAGTCAGCAAAAGGTTAAGGCCGAGCTACAGACGAAGCGAATAACCTGGAGGTTCAACTTAGAGAGGGCACCCTGGTGGGGTGGAGTTTTTGAGAGGATGGTACGAAGCGTGAAAAGGTGTCTTAGGAAGACTTTAGGGAATGCTAGGTTAACGTTCGACGAACTTAATACAGTTTTAGTTGAAGTTGAAGGTACATTAGATGCAAGACCGTTGACTGATGAATACGAAGAATTTGATGGTGAAGTCTTAACTCCTTCACACTTAATATATGGTAGAGCAATTAATATTATGCCACAGAACGAAGTTACTAAAGACGAGAATAGTTGTGAGGAGAGATTTAAGTACGTGTCGTTAAAGTTAGAGCACTTCTGGAAGAGGTGGCAAAAGGAGTATCTAACAGGGTTGAGAGAGTTCCATAAATGCAAAAACGGAGGTAGATTGAGAGAAGTAAAGAAGGGAGACGTAGTGACAGTGTACGGAGAAGGAGGAAAGAGATGTGGTTGGAAGTTAGGAGTTGTAGAAGAGTTAATTGTAGGTAAGGAAAAGGAGGTCCGAGGGGCCAAAGTAAAGGTTGCAGGCAAGGGTAGACCAGTCTATTTGAATAGGCCTATACAGAAGTTATTCCCATTGGAGGTTCAAGCTCGACCGGGTGGGAATGGGCAGGGAAAGGATTCCCCCATAGCTAAGGCAGACGGGTCCTTGCATGTCTTGCATGATCGTCCGAGACGGGCTGCTGCAGCAATTTCCAAAGCGAAGACAAAGGCGATGCTTGATTCATAGACCTTTATGAATCAAGGTGGGTGGGGTGTCGTAGGTTCCCAGCGCAGCGCCGCCAATTCATTCAACTTTAAATATACTTCATGTAATATATCAGTATTGTGATTGACGTAATTCATGTTAAATCGTAAATAAGTCTTTGTATGTGTAAATTGATACGTCACAGTGACACATTGTAATTTGGTAGGGTAATCAAATAGCTAGGGAGTGATTGAATGTCATTGTTGCTGTCAGATCGTAGCGAGACAATCGGAATGTTTAACAGTCTAAAACTCACGTTGTAAATAGTATACTTTCACATATTATAATCAATACAATTATAAAATACAGTCCCTTGAGCGTTTACTGAATGAACCAGACGGTGGAATCACAAGTTCCGCAACAAGTATTAAACTCAAAGTGAGCTCGGTGTACGTCAAAACTATGGTCAAAACCAAGAGAAGTCATAAGTAAGTTTCCATATTTATTAACTTTTCTTGAAGCACTGCTTATAAACGGCATTTGTCCATTTCTGTCATAATAGCAATCCTTTTTAAATGAAATACACATTGTTTTGTCTTCAAACTTTGAGTTTATCCGCCGGATAGTGCATTTAAACTACCTCCGGACCTCGGATAAATTTATCCAACGGATAGTGCATTTTTATCCGTTGGATAGCGCTATCAAAGCTTCGTACAACGCGATTTTCACTCCGGATAAAATTTATCCGCTGAATAGCAACTTATCCACCGAATAGCGATTTATCCACCTTTCGTACAACCGGCCTCATATGTGCAGCATAGAGTCGAGGAAATACGAGAACATTCTGATCCAACCCATTGGAGATTTGTGCAAGGAGAACTAAATCCTGCGGACTTGCCCTCGCGAGGTTGCAATGCAGAAGAACTTTCAAAGAATCAAACCTGGTGGAGCGGACCAGAGTTTTTGAAACATTCCGAGGAGAGTTGGCCTGAACAACCACTGACGAATGGTATAGATAACGAAGAAGTTGATCTCTCAGAAATGAGGAAAAAACCACCTGCAGTTGTTCGATCTCTTGTGAACTTATCACATCGTGGCGAGATTTTAGGAAGAATTAACGAGATTATAGACTGCAAGAGATACAGTACGAAATTACAGTTACTGCGAGTGACGGCAACTGTCCAAAGATGCGCAAGGATTTGGAGACACGATGATCGCGTGCCAAAAACACAGAATTAACGGCAGAGGAGTTGAAGCAAGCCGAAAGAATGTGGATTAAAGCTATTCAAGAACAGACGTTCCCAGACGAGTTGCAATATTTAAAGGATCGACAAAATCACCGAAATAGATTGTGACTCAATTATCGTTGTATTTGGATGAGCATGGAATCATAAGATGCGAAGGACGAATCCAGCACTCATCTCATCAAGATGTAACAAAGCAACCTATTCTTTTACCATCGAGACACTGGTATACCAACCTACTAATTTGCGAGAGGCACAGGACAGTGCATCACGATGGGATCCGAGAAACCGTGAATTGAATTCGAGAAGATTATTGGATATTACGTGCTCGAGAATCAGTTAAAAGAGTGCTCAAGAAGTGTGTCGTGTGCAAACGAATGGAAGGCAAACCCTTTGCAACCCCTAAGATTCCACAATTGCCACCTGAGCGTGTAAGTGAAGAACCACCATTTACGAACACGGGAATTGACTTTGCCGGTCCACTGTACGTGAAATTACCGAGTCAATCCGGTAGCAAGGATTCAGAAAAGGTTTATATTGCTCTTTTCATTGCTCTTTTCACTTGCGCATCAACGAGAGCAGTTCGTTTAGAACTTGTCGAGAATCTGTCGGTCCCAACATTCTTTCAAGCATTCAGAAGATTTACGAGTCGGAGAGGTTTACGAAGTACGATATTTACAGATAACGCCAAGACCTTTAAAGCAGCTTCACGAGAAATAACGAGTATATACACATCGAAGGAAACCGAAAGATATTTCGTCAACAGAGGTGTCGTGTGGAAGTATATAATAGAGAAGGCTCCTTGGCACGGCGGATTTTACGAGAGAATGGTACGCAGCGTAAAACGTTGTTTGAAAAAGTCAATCGGAACTGGTTCTGTAACATTCGGAGAACTCAGAACCCTGCTCGTTGAAATTGAAACTACCATCAACAATCCTCCATTAACATTCATCTATGATGACGAAGGAGTATCGTGTGCTCTCACACCATCACATCTCATTTATGGACGTCAAATTTCGTCTCATTTGAATCACCGACATTACGAAGTAGTCAGCACAATCAAAACTCTAACGAAAAGAGCGAAGCACCAGCAGCGAATGCTTGATCAGTTCACTAAACAGTGGAGAAAGGAATATTTACTCAGTCTTCGAGAGTCGGCGAAATTATCCGTGAAACCGTCAAAAGAAACGATTAAGATTAAGATTGCTGATATTATTATACTCAGAAATGACAGTACCAAACGTGTATTTTGGAAGTTCGGGAAGGTGGAAGAACTCATTCCAAGCAAGGATGGAATTATACGAGCGGCAAGAGTAAAGGTTCAAGGAGACGGTGGAAAGCAAGTAACTCTACGAAGACCGATACCGCATCTCATCCCACTTGAAGTCAGAGCGCAGTTACCAGAACCCGAATGCAATCAACCACCAGTTAACAGCGTTGAAGAAGAAGAAACGGAAGGTGCAAGACCAAGAAGAAAAGCAGCGATAGCTGCAGACCGTTTTAGAGCTGAGTTATACAAACGATATACTATTTAGTTGAGTTTAATTTCTTTATATCTTTGATCATTTATAGATGATCAACCCCGGGAGTGTTGTGAACAGCGTAATTTATACGTTTAACTTTCGAACATTTTTGCGGCGCACAATTTATCGGACTGACTTTTGGCGCCATTTTTTGTTGTTGTTCCAGTTTTATTGCGATTTTGGAGACTTGTAAGTGTATAGACCGTACCTTTTATATAAAATAAATACTTAAAAGCAAAAGTATAGTTCAGTACGTACAGAATAATGAGCGTAGCAACGCACCACGTGTACAGCGTACGTACAGGACGTACGTACAGAGCGTGCGTACGCTGTATGACGTCACAAACATTTGAATACTAATTACTACGATGGATGCGAGGGGTAACTTACTCCTAGCTAATATAATTTTAACTGGATTTGAAAGATTAATAGTTTCCGAGTTGATTGCCTATGGTACTACAAAATTCTATAAACATTACGTTGATGATACTCTTGTTTTGATAAAATCTTCCAATATAGATAGTTTCGATCCGGCCTAACTTGGTGTAGTTCATTTTTTAGACATAAAGTTCGGTTGATGGTAGTGATATTTATCGTCAGGACACTCACACCGGTCAGTATTCACATTTTTCATTTTCTCATCGCAAAACTGCATGGGATATTAAAATCTATTTTCCACCGGGCTTTTAAAATTTGCAGTATGAAAACACTTTTCAACAATGAAATTGAAATCATCAAATCTTTCATATGTCTTAAATGATTATCCTAATGGCATTAGAAACTTTAGAAACAAACAATATATATATTTCATAATTTCCAGTCTTAAATCCGTCTGACCGTGTAGCTCAGTTGGTAGAGCGTCGATCTAGTAATTCGAAGGTCGCGGGTTCAAGACCCAGCCGCGCCAGACAACATCTTTCTGCTTGCGCTGGGTATGGAAATTATATAATACACACTCTAGAACATTTTCATCTTAATATATATATATATATATATATATATATATATATATATATATATATATACTATATATATATATATATATATATATATATATATATATATATATATATATATATATATATATATATATATATATATATATATATATATAT